CAGTCGAGACCAAGCATGACTGGGTGGGCAGCAGTCGAGACCAAGCATGACTGGGTGGGCAGCAGTCGAGACCAAGCATGACTGGGTGGGCAGCAGTCGAGACCAAGCATGACTGGGTGTGCAGCAGTCGAGACCAAGCATGACTGGGTGGGCAGCAGTCGAGACCAAGCATGACTGGGTGGGCAGCAGTCGAGACCAAGCATGACAGCTGTCTCTTATACACATCTAGATGTGTATAAGAGACAGGATTTGGACGGTGCAATGACCCGCATGGTCACGTCATCAGTCACGAATTCATATTCACGAATACGACATATTTTCGCGAACAAGATTTGGACGGTGCAATGACCTGCATGGTCACGTCATCAGTCACGAATTCATATTCACGAATACGACATATTTTCGCGAACAAGATTTGGACGGTGCAACGACCTGCATGGTCACGTCATCAGTCAGTTTCCTGCAGAGCTATTCCAGGCTCGTGCATGTTTGCAGTTATCAGGTCATGTCGCTGCCCTCGGAGAGGATTGCTAGGATCTGAGGGCACTTCAGAGCTTCGGAGGTGAGCAATTTACGAAAATGGCATCGATCTTGAGCCTGATTTTCCCTCTAGTGGTTCTGGCAATTTTATTACGCAACAGAAATTGCAAAATTTAATAAGTTTTGAAATTACATGCAAAATTTTATCCCTCATAGTATTTTCCTATATAATTATAGGTAAAAAATTCTTATCTATTTCCCCCTTAGATTTTTATCTATTCCCTTTATATTCTATCTAAATAGGCCTCATAAACAATTCTCTTCCCTAGTAATTCAATCAGTCGAAGGCTGTATGTCTATAACTGCAAATAACGGACAACGATTTCCCTTAATTTGCATGTTACCTTCGCTTCGTCCTGATGACGAGGCTGACATCAATTATTAAAATTTTTTTTATTAATCTTAAACCAAACTGATTAATTGCAACTTCAAAACTAAACCGTTCAATGTTATATAATCGTAGTATCATTAAATGTTAATTTAAAAATTTTCGGTCTTTAAGTCTCAAATTTATCTTCCATTTGTGTTAAGAAATGATTTAATTTTATGTATTGTTTATTTTCTTGATGCATGAGACTATGGAGAATCGCAAGTTTTTTAGTTTGTGGCTACCAAAGTTATTAATGTTCTTATAAATGTGCTATTATGAGATGCATTCTCGCATAAAATGATTGTGATGTGAAGCAACGAAAATATTCATTCAGGCAGCAAAAACGACGTTTTCGGCAAGACGTGCAAAATCTCCTCAACTAAAATGATGAAGATGACTTTGATCAGACAGACCGGATCACCGTTCGTGAATTACGATTTCTTCCTGTTTGACTGAGTAACATAGAAAAATTTTACTGGTCTGAGATTACCTATGTCCTAAAACACAATTGATAAAGCAAAGTTGAAAGAAGTTGCCGATGCGTAATTTTTTTAACTTCCTGGATAAGTCAAAATGTAAATGAGTACCTCTGAAATGTTTGATATTTTCTCACGTTCACCAACTGGACATAATTCATCACGGAAATACTTTTCCTAATTCTCCTAATACTCCTAAAATACTTTTCCTAAATCAATTTTTTCCTAATATTTCCTGAAGTGCAAGCAGGGTAGAAGAGCTGCTTGGTAATTCACCTCATGGACCGTTGTGGTCGATTGGCGCCAATTCCACAACGGCGCTACTTGCACAACGCTACACTTGCTACTTGGCGACCAATTCCTCTCCTCTCGGGATGTATGATGGCCGAGAATGACGTTACTGAGATTGCGACGCGTCATAATCACGACGTAGATAATTGATGTCGTAATTAATTACGCTACGTTCCAATCCCAGATAAGATAAACGTTTTCAAGACGCTTCCGAGAAGCTGTTCCACATTTTCTTGATTACTTCTTCACCTTAATAAGTTCGTTAGAGAAAGGAACAATAATCTCTGGCTTCAAGAGATGAGTGAATGCAAAGTTCGATTGCCTTGCCGCAGGGTGCATTAAAGCAGTGTAGCAGTGTTTCTCTACTTGCTATATGTGTATCCAGCTTCATTTTTTCTCTATTTATTTTCTCTCTATCTTTGTTCTCTCTGTGAAAGTCCGTTAAACTTAAAGTTAATTGCTGTATTACAGAATATGTGAATTATCTATCATTTATCTTTTGGAACATCAGGCGGAAACGTTTTCACGGTGGTCTGATAAAATTCTGAATCGACTTAAAAAGAATTTTTCCTATCTGACGTTCTTACTTTTAACTTCATTTTAACCAATTTGTAATTCCTCTTAATGTGAATTCAAGTTCAGATCGTAAATGCAATAATTTTGCATTTTCCCTGCATTGCCCGAAATTGTAATTTCGTGTATTTCACTGGTGGGGCTGACAAAAAAATTATCCTTCAGATGGCACATTATTCATGACTACAAGCCTACAAGCCCAGAATTTATGACGACACAAATTTCTAAATACTTGCCTGTGGATATCGTAAAATTACAATTGAGCCTACTGCATCTTCCTGTGCACTCGAAAAATGCAAACTCTCTCATAAATTTCAGACTGACGTAGTTACAGACATAAGATATTGAAAGGTTAACTTCAGTTAATCACTGTGCGACTTGAGCTGATAGAAAATTGATGACACATTAATACAAATAGCGATTTTGTGAACCATTCTGTGCACAGAACGCAAACTCAGGAGCACAGTTCCGCATTTCGCTCGTGCGGATCTCAGGCGTGCATGCGGAATGAAGTTGGCAGAGCCAATTCCGCCGAGAAATGATGCAGATCTGACGTCCAGTCGCTCCCAGGACCCACGGAGAAAAATTGAGAATACCAGGTAAGAAAGAGACTACGAGTCTCACCAAAATTAAAAATTCGCAAGTATTTTTGAGCTGACAAGAGGATTGTAATTTTTGGGCTCGAACTAAGTTGTCGTACGTGTTCATATGATGTAGTAAATTTGCTTGCTAAAAAACCTGTCCCGAGAATTTTGATATTTCACGCAAAACAAAGCCACGAGTGCGGTAATAAGTCATAATATCCCGTAAAAGGACATGAATATAAGTTTATTCATTTTAAACTTTAAATTTTGGGTTAAATATACCCATGACAAATATTCAGTAGAATCGACCATGATAAGTGTGAGAGAATATTCTTGTTAGAAAGATGAATGCCGATTTTCATCGTTTCCTTTGACTTCGTATTTCCGTTAGCTCGAATGTCTTCACAAATAAATTTGGAAATTCTTCATGTAAATAAAACCACCCATGCAATAATCACAGAAGGTATTCCATTTATGTAGTCTTGAAGAAGTTAAACTCTCACCACGCGCCAGACCTAAAGAATTCACTTGAGTAGGAAGCGAGGAGGAAGTTATTTCCATAAATCTCGGAGGTATTCGGTAGGTACCCACAAGGCGTGAAACTTCCAATCCGGTTAGAATCGCGAGACGGTAACGATTTACAACCGCTTCCTTGCCCTCCGCCCCATGAAAGGTAACGGCGTGAAGCTTGTGGCTGTGATCAAATAAAAAATAAGTTGAATAGCAACTCATCCTACCCGGCCTAGGCTTCACGAGGTGATATTTACTGATAAATGAAGTAAATACTTCGCTGATATTATTGAAATGTGATATGTTGCTGAGCGTTATCACTCTAGCTAAACAATCTGCAAATCGTGTAACATTTGCAAATGGAAAATATATCGGGCTTCGATCTTTTTCGTCCCGCGTTACGAATAGAGTTTTGTACTTCCTAAAGCAAAATCCAAATATTAAAAAGAGAAACTGTCCTACACAGCCATTTATTCACTGATGCATCTGAAGTAGATCTATATATAGCTACTGACATTGCTGGAATTAATCTAAGCGACTCTGAACAAAACTTCTCAAGAAAAGTTATTGTTACTTAAATAAAAAAATTCGAAAACAACGAAGGTGAATGGAATTAATCGGATTGCATCAAGTATGCAACATAAGCAGCGGGGCTGCGTGTGAGCCTCACCCTTGAAGTGTACAAAGAATTGATCGTAATCCGTCTTATTAATTTTCTTGCTACTGTCATATCTGAAATCTCGTTACTCTGCACATTCACTTAGGAATTTCTAAATTCACTCATAGCTGCCAAATTCACCAGGTGACAGCCATATTCACCTAGTGACTGCCAATTTCGCCTCGTGTTTCCACATTCACCTAGTGACTACCAATTTCGCCTCGTGTTGCCACATTCACCTAGTGACTACCAATTTCGCCTCGTGTTGCCACATTCACCTACCTAGTGACTACCAATTTCGCCTCGTGTTGCCATATTCACCTAGTGACTACCAATTACGCCTCGTGTTGCCACATTCACCTAGTGACTACCAATTTCGCCTCGTGTTGCCACATTCACCTGGTGACTGCTAATTTCGCTTCGTGCTGCCAAATTCACCTAGTGACTGCTAAAATCGTTCGGATTTGATTCTGTTTTAGGAACTTTTGCCAGGTGAAGGTACAATTTAGATACTTGATGGGATAACTTTTCTTCCCAAAACTGTAAAGTTCTGCAAAGTGAGCTCGAAAGGGCATGTCAGCTCGCACGTTCGAGCGAATATATAACTTCTCGCCACTGCAGTCTGTGTTTCTGCATCGGCAAAGTTCACTGTAATCCGTTGCATTTGATAAAGGGCCATGCGTTGACAATCTCTTCAGCCAAACTTCTGAGAATAAATTCGATGAAATTTAATAAAATATTCCAGGTTTATTATGAGTAATGATATAATACAATCAGTCGCATTAATTGAAGGTGATCTGTAACTAATATGAATAAATTCTTGTCTGCACAACATTTCATCTGTAATTCTATAACATCCCAAGTTAGTGCATGAAGACGCCTAGCATATTATTATTCAATACAATCAATACATTATAATTACAGTGGACGGTAACGTTTAGAATACAACAACCAATATTGTTTTGTTCAGTTTTATGACTTGCTTCCATAACCTGAAGATAGCTATAAAGGAAAAGAATATAAAAGAATATAAAGCAATATCAATTCGTTTGCTTTGTGAACGCCGATGTTGCGAATAT